GCCACCTGGTCCGGCTGGGGCCTCACTCTCCCCAGCTGAGAAATGCGCGCTCTCGTGGCGTCCCCTCCAGTCTAGCAAAGCTTCTGGGCTCTCGGGTCCAGAATCTGGAAGTTCCGAGGATGTCGAAATCGCAGTCGGGCCCGGCACTGGCACTGGGTGCCTGGAGACGCCCTGCGCCCGGGCTGCCCGGCGGCTCTGCAGGCTGGCGGCTGAGTTGCACCCATTTCGCAGGACGTTCCGCGGCAGGGGCGCAGATCACCGGGGTCTGCGGCCCCTCATGGGGGGTCCCCTGGGCGTGGGGACTGGAGCCCGGGCGGGGCGCTGTCTGGGCCCCCTTGGAGCTCGGCGCCTGACGCAGATTTCGTTGCTCTGAAGGACGCTGCGGCAGCCAGGACAGGCGAGGAGCGGGGTAGGAGTCCCCGAGCTCCTCATCCGCCGCACCTCCACCCGCACGCCATCCATGGCCTCAGTTTCCCCGACTGCAAACGGCCTGACAGACTCGGAGGGTTAGTGGGAGGCGGCCAGCGGGGTGAGGAGGGACTTGGCGCCGGTGTACACTCTTTCTCGGCCACACGGTCACCTCCGGTCTGGACTGCGTGTCCTGGGCGGGCTCGGGCGACAGGAGTGACCGATGGGGAGAGCCAGCCCCCAGTCCCCCGCTCCTCCAGCCCGCCGCAAAGTGGGGCAAGCGAGGTGCAGGCGAGGCTGCGCTGCGGTATCCCCGCGGGCGCCTGGCCTGGACGCGGCCTCCCCGCCCCAGTGACCCGGGCCGCTCCGCCGCCAGCGCCCAGCCCGCTGCCCTCTGCAAACAAGCGCTGTGTTTGCCCAGAGCGCGGCGGTGGCGACCAGGGAGCGATGGGGATTCGATGGAGCCGCGCGGCGGGGCGCAGAGCCGGGCGCTGGATCGATCGCAGGCAGCTGTCGCTGTCGCTGTCGCCGCCGCGCCACCGGGGCCTCCCGGACCACGGCCGTCGAGAAGCTGGGAGCGGAAGGCGGCCTGGGGGTACGGGGGGGCCTTCAAATGAGCCTGGACGCCGCGGCCGCCCTCCAGCCCTCTGAGCCGGAAATGCTCACGCCCCTTGAAGCGCTAAAGCGAGTCTCTGGACAGGAGCACAGGCGTCTGGTCCCCAGGTGGCCGTGGCCCGGATTCGGGGGTCTGCGGGTCGGGACCACCCCCCACCGCAGGACTCAGGGGTTTCTGTTTGGGCTGGGCGAGAATGGGGACGAAGCCAGCACGCACCCAAACCAGCTCTAGTGAAAGGTGTTTCGCTTCGTGGAGACGCTTAGAACCAGAGTTGCAAGAGCAGGGCCTGCGGGAGAAACGGGGTGTTCCCAGCGCCAAAATCCAGCGGAAATAGGGGAGCCTAGACCAGAAAGAGAGGTGTCCAAGAAGAGGGGTCATAGGTATTGGATGAGAGGGGTCACGGGACTCTGCGTGCGGCTGCTGGGGGAACCCACGCAGGAGGACCCCTTTCCCGCACGGCCACAAGTGACACCAGAGGCGACACTGGTCAGCTTCCCCCAGGCCCGAGGTGGGGCGCAGGGGACGCCCAGGCCGCTCTGGATGGCACTTCCACCACCTACATTCTAAGAAGGGTTGTCCAAACTAGAGGGCTTTGAAGTCCCTGCGAGGGTGAGGATGGGGGTGCCCGGCCCCATCCAGCCCGCCCTTCCCCCATCCGCAATTTGCCTAATGACCCAAGATCGATTGTTGAAGTGGCAGGTCCCGGCAGGCTCAATTCTATTTTACTAATTACAGAAAGGCCACTGGGGGCGGTGACACCGATTCCGAGACCCCAGGATGGGGACTGTGCCCCCTTTCTAGGGGCAGGCATCTTCGGGCTCAGTCTCCTAGTTTGCACACAGCAACTGCAGGGAGTGAGGTCCCCGTTCCTGGGGGAGTCCAAGCCCCAGTCTGCCTGGTGGGGGCTGAGAGTACTTGGAGACTGAAGAAGCTGGTGACTCTAGGGGCCTTAATGGGGAGCTGTGGCCACGATGGACGTCCCAGGCCCTGGGCTCCCTGTCTCCAAGCTGCCAGCCGCCTTTCAAAATGGATGCTTCCCCGCTACACCGCCAGCCAGGCTTGCGCCGAAAAGGAGCTGTGAACAGGAGGACAGAGAGGGAGGCTGAATGCCTGTGGACGCACCCCTCCTGGGCCCCGGGTCCGCATGCGGGAGACCCCTCCTTGTGGACGCTCCTGCCCCTGAACCCCCACCGGCCTCAGCCTGCGACTCCCTACTTGCTGTCACATCCTGGCTGCAGATTGATTTTTAGATGCCATGATTATTTAGATGTTTTCTGTGTTGGAGGGGAGAAGTGGGGAGTCCAGGCTGGGGTTCAGCACAGTCAGGGACCCCAGGCTTGGAGTCTGTGAAGGGAGGGTCACTCTGCTCGCTGAACCTGCCCCTTCTACCCACCTGGAGAATGGGGGGATTCCTGTAACTCGCTTAAGGGTGCGACAGACCCCAGGACAGAGCTGAAAAGTCGAAGGGACACTGCCACTTGGATGAAACATACAAAGGAGGGGGCACTTGTGTCCAGACACCCTTTCATCTTGCACTGGAAAAATTTAAAAACTGGGTGTGACTTCCCCCTCCCGGGGCCTGATAAGCAGTAGGTGCTTATTAAATGCTTCTCACCCCAGCGTCTTCAGCGCCAGGCACAAGGGGTCCCCTTTAACCTGACCCCACTTAACTGCTGAATTCTTGTACCAGGAGTGGGGTCACCAAGGGCCCCCAACACCCTCAAACCTAAAAACAACCTCTTCCCCCACCCCGCTACTGTGTTCAGCAGAGAGAAACCTCCAGCCCTCAGCTGGAATGTGACAGATAGACGCCTGGACACTGTCTAGTGCAACACAACATCAGGGGAAACTGAGGCACAGAAAGGGCCTGGCAGGGGCCAAGTGAGACTGTAGTCCAGAAAATCACATTTTCAGGAGGCAGGGCTCATGGGAAAGACCAGAGGAGGGGAGGCAACAGCCCTTAGCCCAACACCCCAACCTTTCCACGGAGATGGGGGACAGGGACTCAAGTGCAGGTCCTAAGACTGGTGTTTATCTAGATAACTGGTGAGGTCAATCCCTTACCCCTTTCATAGGCGCGGGGACACACACACACACACACACACACACACTCTCTCTCTCTCTATCTCCCTCTCTCCTCTCAGGTAGGGCAAGGAATAGAACTGCAGTCTTTCCCCAGACTGAGACGGGTGCGCTCTCCAGGGTCGGGCCTCGCCTCTCTGGACGCACCAAACTTGCAAGCTCACCCGACTCCAGGGATCTCATTGCAGGATCTGAATGTGGGAAAGTCCCATTTCTTCCAGATCCCAGGGGCTCTGTTCAGGCATGGGAGGAATGTCTGTCCCCTACAATAACGGGGACTGGGAGTCGTTGGAGGCTGGGCCCTCAAGGCTTGGTGGACAGTATTCCAGGCTGGACAACTCGCTCTGTAGGGGGTCAACTGACTCAAAACCCTGCAAGTGAGGGCACCTTAGAAGCCTGGTGCGCCACTGTACAGCTAGGGAAAGCGAGGCGGGGCACAGTACAGACAGCTTTGGGGAAGGTAGGTCCCAGCTTTGGGGAACGTGGGTCCCAGCTCCGCCTGAGGGGCCCCCGTTGGGGTCATGTGGGAACTGTGACTCGCTGCGTGTGCACTGGGGGGCTTCCTCCTGGGTGCCCAGAGGGCCACTGAGATCCTCCTGGAGCGGAGCGCAGGTAGACAAGTCCTGCGGATGACCCTTTGGAAACAGTGACCCAGATAGACGGGGTGGGAGACGCAGAGGCCTCAGCGCCCCCTGGCTCTCTGTCCCGGGGCCCTGCTTCCCTTGGCGTCCGCGGCGCTCGTTCGGGGGTCCGGGCGGG